GTGTGTGTGTGTGTGTGTGTGTGTGTGTGTGTGTGTGTGTGTGTGTTATACACATATAGGCTTTGGACTTACTCCACCTTCTTCTGCATCTATCACATCATCTGCTTTGGGTGTATTTCTGCTCATGACAGCTTTAGTTGCTGAAAACTCAGTGTAAGAAATTTTTCAGCTCTTTCTGCATGCACATTTGAGTGTAGAGTCTGAATATGTGTGTAAATATAAACTATAGCATACCTCTCACATTGTAACATTTGTACTTATAAATAATAATCAGGACACATATTAGTAAAACCACAGGGACAACAGCGTAGGCTGCATAGTGCACCGCTTCTGAAAAATAGAAACCAATTAAAAACAGAATAGAAAGTTCATTTTCAGTTACTGGCATTTCAGCACAACTGTTGATCACAGGTGCACGCTTACACAGCTGTTTTGACACTTACGAGCATATTGACTTTACTTGTGTTTAATCCCAGGGGAATTACCCACATTGTAACCATGAACCACATCAACAGACCAATATGCACTTGTCAGCCTCTCTGTAAGGCACACTTGTTCAACTGCTCATGAAGATATAAGTCTAATAAGCCAATCACATGTCAGAAACTCAGTGCTCAGTTGAACATTTTATGACTGTTGGAGCCTGACGGGTCAGTCGGAAAACACTACCTCTAGGGTTTATAGAGAATGGTCTGAAAAAGATATAATCACAGAAAACTTTAAGTTGGGACGAATTCATTCACATATTTGTTCAAACCAGACACTTATCTCTGCTCCAAACCCATCCAAAACATCTGAAAAAGAAATTACAAATGTTATATATACACTACGGCTCAGTTTTAGAAGTTTTAGAACACCCCAATTTTTCCAGTTTTTTATAAAAAAATTATGCACTTTAATGTCTGATTGCACTCTGAAATAGGCGCATACCAGAGGGTATTGCATGGTGCTGCAGAATGCTGTGCTAGCAGTTTTGGTTCAGGGTGCCTCTCACATTGTGGAACCATCCTTTCGCCTTCTTGACGGCATACAAAAATCCTGCGCGATGAACTGAAGATTTCTAATTTAGATTCCTCAGTCCATAATACCTCCTTCCAGTATTCAGTAATCCAATGGCGGTGTTTCATGGCCCAGACAAGCCTCTTTGTCTTACTCTTAGCAATGGCTTTCTTGTTGCAACTCATCCTGTCAAACCTGTAGCTCAAAGTCTTCCTTTCACAGATGAAACTGAGACTTGCTGCAACCTTTATTAAGCTGTGCTTGAAGCTGTTGTACAATTACCACTGGATCACTTTGGATTTTACCTCCTTTCACTGGTCTACTTGTTCCTTCTGCCCCTGGTACTTCACAGTTATCTTGTCCTCCTTCTTCTTGATGTCGTGCTCTAGTGGGATTCTGATTTATCTTAGTTGTGGTCTTCTGCTCCTTGTTCAGAGTCTCTTGTGTTTTCCTTTAAGCCAGCCTTTTTGGTAGGATGTCCTGATATCAGCCACTTCCTCTATCTGTTGATGGTGCATCCCATGTGGTTTGGTTATCCATGACAGTTCCTCTTTCTGTGGCTCATCATCATCTGTATTCGGCTTCCTGAGGCATTCTTGGAGCAGCTTGTCTCAGGATTTCCCGGATGCTCTGTGTTTCATTGTGGATTGTGTCTCCGACACTCACTCTTTCTGTTACTCATAAAGCCTCATATAGCCTATGTAAATTTCAAAGTATTTCACTGGCATAAAGAGAAAAAATGACATATATAACATAGAAAGTATAAAAAAGGTAGTGCATATCTTTTTGTCTTCTATTGTATAAATGATAACCCCCTATATAAACACCTGGGGTTAGCTTTTAGCACTAAATACACTATTAAAAAATGTGTTAGGGGCTGTGTTGGATAAAGCAAGATATGCTTAGTTATGCTTATATAAAGATCGAGTTATAGATGGGTGGGTGGATAGACAGATATAAAAGCTGTTAAAGAACTTGCAGGTCAATAGTACTTTGATCATCAGTTTTATATGAAAGAAAGTCAAAAACTACTTTATAATCTGTGAAAAAAATGCAATCACTGAGAGTCTAGAAGAGGCCCTATCAACATGGATGCATACTGTGGGAAGTGATGTGTCTGCCTTAGTACGCAGTGTTCTCAGCAGTTCCATTTTTGGCAGATTTCTTGCATTTAGTGTGAAACCAGTTGGCTGCTGTACTATTTCATCACGTCAGACAATTGAATTAAAAACTGCAGTCCATGGTTAACAAGTTGGGTGCAAACAAAGACATTAATTTTGCTGTCATATACACAACTGTTCAACTTAACTACTGACAGCTGAATCTTTGTGTACTTTCCTCCAAGTATTTAAGAATCACATTCAACTTTATTAAAGAGACTTTTACAGAAAAGTGTTTTGTTTTGGCTGAATTAATGACATATTACTATGACCTCTCACCTTTGACTTCCAGCTCAACAGCAGAGAAAACATCCAGGTCCGAGTTTCTTTGGACACCACAGAGGTATGATCCTGAATCACTTTTGGTCAAACTGTTAATGGTCACTGTGAATTTTCCTGAGATTTTGTCATCATCGAGTCTGAATCGTCCATGTTGTCTGCTATGAGAGGTGATCAGTGCCTGCCGACGACATGTGGAGCGCTGATTTCCTCTGCACATGTACTTCAAATTGTTCTGGTACTGAGACTCGTACGGACAACGGATAGACTCAGAATATCCCTCATAGCTTTCAAGCTTGGTCATATTGTCACAGCAGTTGTCTGTCAAAATTATAAACAGAATCAGAAAATGTTGTACAGCCACAGAATAGAGAGAGGATGTTTTATATTTAGCTTGCTGCAACAAGATTGCCTGAGACCCAGAGTTAGTGTGATTTAATCAGTGTCACAGCAGCTGTCTGTCAAAAAGATAAAGGAAATAATCCTTTACACCTTATATTTAAATTTTATGCCACCTTGTAATCACTGGAAACACAAACTTGATTATCTTTAACATCATCTTAATTATTTTACTTCATTATAAAATACATTTTGAGAAGAATGTATTTACCTGGCATTAATTTCAGCTCGACTTCAGTGTAGATATCTTTTCCAAATTTGCTCACCCCACACCAGTATTTGCCAGCATCCACAGAACGAAGATCAAAGATGGTCGTTGTGAAGATTCG